GTAGATATCAGCTGCAGTTAAAGAGAGTGTTCAAAAATACTGCAATAAAATATCTTCTTGCAGTGAATCAATCATATGTGAATCTTATACCCCAATTAACAAAACAATGTTTTTTCAATCGGCCTGACCTGGTCAAGATTTCCCCGGTGAAAATCGTATCAGTGTTCAAGTGTCGGGTACCGAAAAAGTGATTGTGTTTGTTAATATTAGCCAATCTCTCCTGTCGGACCAGATCTTGAGCTTTCGGCTAAACCGTCCGAAAACTGTTTACTTTCGACTGTCTGCGTCAACATAAGGCTACAATCGCTCCCACGCCCCCGCTATGGTCTGTGGTTCGTGCAATTCCACCAAAAGTAAGTGTTTGATGGCGTCATTAATCGCGAAGGCCCTTATGTGATAGGGCATATTTTGCAATTAGTGGCGTCATCAAACACTTAGTTTTAGCGGAACCACAAACGTCTTAATGAAATGAAATGAATGAATGAATGGATTTTACGTCCTACTTTACTGACAGACGTCTTAATGAAAATTGAAAAGTGCAAATGGATGCTATAGGTGTCCCCGATTTTTTTTAGAAAATCATTTACAAGTCCAGTTAACAATGACTTTTCCTATGACTTTACTTACATATAGGCATTTAAGATAAAGATGTGTATAATAAGATACATCCACATGGCGTTTCTTTTCGATTTATCAATTATCAATACATTCAAATATTTCGGTCCATTACTTGCAATAAATTTATTAGCTATATTCGTCTTTATCGGCCACTAAAACCAGTAATTAGTTACCGTGGGAGACTAGTATTGGATATGATTAAGGCCTTTTCATATTCTCATAATAGGGATCAATATTACGTGATAAAGATTCTCCTTTTGTATTATAATAAGTATGTCTACTATTTGATTTAGTCTTGTTAACATGATCAGAACTAGCAGTAGAATTAACTTGTAAATCATCATAAGTTGGTAATGTTTGATCTCGTCCTGTATTAGTTATACCATCATAATTATTTTCTCTTGGTGTAGATGACAAGGATTTCATTTTTCTGTAATTTAAGAAGGTAATAGTTAGTTAGTACTTGCATTTACTGGATTACCAATGACCTGTAAACATTGGTAGGTTTCGATATTACATTAATAATTTGAGTTTTTGAGGTATAATTGAATTACAATTGTATGATATTGAAAATGTATAGATATGTACTCACCTTGTAAAATATACAATCAAACCAACATTGATAATAACAGATATGATCAATAATGTACCCAACACTCCACCAACAATACCTGAATCTAATAAAAGGAATACAAAACCATTGAAACCTTTAACATCAATATGACTCTATAGTTTAGAGAAAATAACTTTTGTTCGATGAGCCATTTTCCTTTCTGAAAAGAACACAGTTCAAAGTGGCTGAATAAGTTTGGCATGTGCTTATACTTTTGTCCCTTTTACCATCCCATCAAAGACTCGAAAAAGTGTTTTTGAACTTACTATCACTTTGCGTTGTAGAAGATGCAGATCCTGATGATTTTGTAGAAGTTTGTGCTGTATAGGTTTTCTCTTCCATTGTCTCAGATGGGGTCATTTCTGTAGTTGGAGCAATAGTCTTTAAACCCTATATATAATCAAGTTAAGTATTTGA